CTAAAGGGACTCTTTCATTAATTCTTCCATTAGAAACGTTGCACAATTGCAAAACTTTTCATTAAAGCTTCCTCTTGTACAATCAGTATAAGCCTCTTAATTTCACATCTATGTAAATTTAAGAGAAGATGCTGAAGTTTGGGTTCTTTTGCACTTGAGGGATGTCAAGAAGAGAAGCATGGATTGACACATCAAATATAGCTGCCATTTCTATTGCCCCCACACACTAACTATTTTAATTTGTTTATAATTATTACTCACAGTTTATATTTTATTTAATAATTTCATATTATCATATTCATCATTTATAATTTAGTATATTATGACTTTTAAGAATAAGATCAAAGATAGCACTGGTTGCAGTGCGCTGTTTCCTCCGTTGCTACAGGGGGCGCTGTTCGCTTCAGTATCTCCGTATTGTCGCTCAGTTAGTGACGTGGATTTTCATTGAAGCAGTCAGTGCTGCCAGAAGCAGTTTCTCCAGCCTTAAAGAGCTCTCCTTCTAACGCATTTTAACCACATTTACAAGGTGAATCCGTCGCTCTCTTTCGTCGTGTTTCACTTTTTAACACAGTTGTGCCGCAGCTGTCGAAACAGGTGAGCAGGTCGCGTAAAATGTTCACATTGCAGGGTTTTCCTGTTGCTAGTTCAGAAGTATCTGCAGTAAAAAACTACAGAAACTGGCCACTCATGTCAGTATTTCTTTGTCACAGTCCCTGTGATGTGTGTTTACTCACCACAGACTCCAGGATGAGTAAAAACAGCAAAGTGTTGAACCTGAAGGATAAAATCAGTGGGAATGAAGTGGACCTGAGCTTGTGTAATCTCACTGAGGTGCCAGTCAGGGAGCTGGTAAGTTACTCAGCTGCTTTAAAGCATACTGTAGTTTTACACTCACCGTTACTCTGCTGTGGTTTGTTCCCATTTCTGTTTCTTGGTTAAAATGTCTGTTAAATAATTACCTGCCACTAATGTCAAACTTGACTTGTAATGTGATGTTTTCCAATAGGCCTTGTTCCCCAAAGTAACAGTTGTGGACTTATCTTGTAACAACATTACCTCCCTTCCTGTGAGTATTGAACACTCAGATTAAACATTTTGTTTGTTTTTGATCAAGTTGATGCTCTTAATAATACAATTTCTTGCAAAGACTGTTTGTTTGAGAAGTTTTAGAGGTCAAAATTATTTTATCTTATTAGGTAATTGATCATCTTCAAATGTTTTAAGTATTTCTTTGTCTTAGTTACTTTTTCATTGTTTTAAAAAGTAATCACTCTTGCTTTAGTGAAGTATTTTCAGTAACTTACATTTTCTGAAACTCTGGGAGCAACAAGTTGAATTACCCTGCATGCATTCAAATGTCTTAATGAATGAGCTGGGATGTTTATAACTGCTGTGTGTCTCTTTGACTGGGTTATCCTCCTGCAGCCAGAGTTCTGCAACCTGACCCACCTAGTGAAGGTGGATCTGAGTAAAAACCAGCTGACCAGTCTGCCAGATGACCTGGGGAACCTGGTGAACCTTCAGCATCTAGACCTGTACAACAATAAGCTGACAAACCTGCCAGTGAGCTTCTCTCAGCTCAGGGTGGGTGTTCTTTGATAGATGTGCATCCATTGTTTAAGTTAGCCTCATCCAGCAGTCTTAGCTTAGCATAAAGAGCTAAATTCATAGCCAGAGTTTGAGCTACTGGATGTAAATCTCAGGAAGAGTATATGTGTTTCTAAACAAAAATCCTTTGCTTTTTTGTTAACCTTTGCTGCTGATAACTTGCTGTTTTCTTACTTTGTAATTACAAGGTGTGAAGCGTGTGGTTGTTGAGGTTCCCAAGCTCAGTTTTGGCTCTTTCTGTGTGTGTCTTTGTGTTCAGAGTCTCAAATGGTTGGACCTAAAGGATAACCCACTGGAGCTTGGCCTGGCCAAGGCAGCAGGAGACTGTCTGGATGAGAAACAGTGCAAACAGTGCGCCACTAAGGTGACAGAGAGAATGACGAGTCAACAAATTGACTGATGATATTACCATAAATGCGTCCAATACTAAAGATCGTGGGGGTTTTTTAGGTTCTGCAGCACATGAGAGCCATTCAGGAGGAGGTCGATCATGCTCGAGAGAAACGACTTTTAAGAGAAAAAGGTAGGCAACATAATCATTTGAGAACTTCAAAAAAGTAATAACTAGGAGAAAAAAAAGCTATTTTAAACTAACAAGTATACTGTTGCATTTGGTTGAGAAAACTGTTTGATACATTAAAAGAAACTGATTTGCAAAGTGGGGTCATATCCTCCCCAAGTGTTACAGGAACATATCTATCCTGTGTATCGTCCACACAAACAACACATTTTTGAAGTTGTGTGAAATGTAGCGGAAACTTCATCTGTAGCTTTAAAAAAACAAATGCAGTGGAATACAGTGAAGTTAAGTATTTCTTACTGAGATCCAGGGTTGTAGAAATTATGAAAAAGCACATTTAAAATGCTCTGCGTATAGTAAGGAAACTTAGATGTTATCAACCATTAGTATTCACACCGATTGATGTACATTAATGAAGCACGAGTCTCACTGTGCCCTTGGAACAGACTATAAAAGGAGTTGAAAATGTTGACTGAATAAAAATGGAGGATTATAGAATTAATACTACAGAAGTGCTATTAAAACAAAAAACCCATAAAACAGGAAAAATAATAATAATAAAAATAAATAATAAATGAATGAATAATAAAAAATAATTCTGATGAAAATGTGGGACTTTGAGGGTGAATTCTATCACAATTAATATTGTTCTTACTATTAAAACATTGTGGTTAAAAGTTGCAGTGACACAGAATGATTACATGTGTAAAATAAGACTGCTAGTACGCTAGTTTATTTTTACACAGGCACAAGTATGTTATGTTCCTAGTTGGGGGTTTAAAACACAAAAAGTCTAAATAGTATGAATCTAAAAAGCAGACATCAAGACAAATGAAACAAGGAAAACTATACTTACGACTTTACTGTAAAGTGTGTTCATGAATTCATTCATTCAGTCATGCATTGCTCCACCACTCAAATCTATCATTGTTAAAAATCTGAGTTTTCAGTTAGATAAATGTATTTAAAGGTTAGTGCAGACTCGCACAATAATTTTGTGGGTTGTTTTTGTTCTGGATTATTTGAAAAAGTATCGCAAACAACAGACCGAGAGGATCGTTGTTAATGGGAGTCTTGTTGCCGCTGTGAAAAGAAGTAAATGCACTTCATCTCATTTATGGACAGCAGGAAAAAGCTCCCTGAAATACAAGCTTATAATGTCCCAGCAAGAATAAATCTGTGTAATTGCATCTCTTCTGGCCACATTTCCTTCATCCTTTAATCAGAGCTGGAGAGGAAGAGGGAGGCGAAGCAGAGGGAGCGGGAGGCCAGAGAGAGGGAGGCTCGCAAACGGGAAAAGGCAGAGGAGAAGGAGAAGAGGAGGAAAGAGTACAATGCTCAGAAGGCAGCACTGGCTGCACAAGAGCAACAGAAGAAGAAAAGTGAGGAGAAGAAGAAGAAGAACGGACAGGCAGCAGGTGGTAAATCTATTGAAATAGAAAGTTTGAAGACTTTATTCAGCTTGTAACAGGCCTTTTCTTTTGTCCTTTTTCTTTGAAATGCACAAATCACTCAAAGTGGTCAGAAAATCTTTTATTTCTGGTTTGACGAGTCACTCTGATATCAAACATGTGTTTCGTTACAGCAGATAAAAAGGTCGCTGTGGAGTCTAAGCCTAAACCTCGCCGTTCTGTCATTGGTCTGATCTTCAAGCTCCTCCTCCTGCTGCTCGTGGGATTGGCCGGAGTCGCCGCTGTCTGTCGCCTGACTGACCTGCAAAAGGAAGCTTTCTGTCTGCCGATAAACGCCGCAGTGGACGACGGCCTATCCTGGGCCAAAGAGCAGCAGATTGTGCTCAGACAGCTGGTGCAGAATCTGTCGACTGCAGCGAAAGAGTTTCTCGAATCCACACAAACATCTAAGAACTAAATACTCAAGCCTCCATCAAAGCTCAGAGCTCCAGGTTTTCCACTATCACCTGTGAACCAAGGGATTTTGTGTGTTTGTTTTTTAAATATGAGAAATCATGAGTCTCATTAAAGTGGGTAACCCTGCATCTCCTTACCATGTTTGTGATGCTGGGGAGGTGAAAGGTCTGTACAGATAAATGACAATGGAACAGGTGTGAAAACCATCTTAAATTCCTATGGAATTGTCTCTCTTGTACCCTCTTTGTACTACAGTGTGTTTTTTAAAAAAGAAGAAGAAGTAATCATCTTAAATGTCTCCCTGTCGACCATGTTTTGCACTTTGACCAGCAGCCAGCTGGTTTGTTTTCTGTGCATTACACGGAGCACAGGCTGGATTTGAGAGACGTTCAGTGAAGTGTCAGGGGGCCCTGTCTGTGCTGCACCAGTCACATGTTAGCTGCCAGTCACAGTTGTCCATTTGCCAGTGTTAGATTAGGCAGTCTGAGCATGTGCAGCAAAAGCTGTGTCAATACAAAGCCTTTCCAGCCATATAGTCAACCCTCCTTAATTTTGCACTTTGGAGTCCAAATGATAGAAGTGGATTTTATGTTGTCACAGCTTATATCCTCAGCCGGTAAAACATTTTCAGTCACACGAATACCAAAGATATCAGAGGTAATTAAGAAAAAGTGTCGGTATTATCCAGCAGAGAGCAAAATCTCTTGTTTAGTACATCCTGTTTCCTGCTTCCAGATCTTTAACAAAAGCAAAAATCCTCTTTCTGACGGTGTAAAGTTGCTTAACCACAAATCTAATCCCGTTTAATAAAAGGGCAATTTCAACAGCACATCTCGGTTTTTCTGCATAATAAATAAATGCTGCTGTAGTACGTGCAAGAAATCTGTCTGCACAAATAAATAAAGTGTAATTCATTACTTTGATGGTGTATGAATGTCATAGGAAGAGATCTTTATCAATAGGAAAGGATGGCCTCCATCCAGTGGCCCAACAACCATCTTCCAAGATTGAATTCGATGTCTTCCATTTCACTATAAAGCTCTTGTTTCCTTTATGTGCGTTTATAATAAACAAAACCAGCAAATCAGAAAACAAACGTTTACCTTGAAAGCTCAATGTGCAAATTTAGAAATACTAAATAATTTCAGTTCTGATATAAATTAAAGCTCAGCCAATGCTGATGATTCTAATACAACAGGTCATTTTAAACTTGATAACACTTTTTTTTTCATAAATCCTGCACAGATTGTATCATTTCATAGATTTTTCCTGCTTCCCAACTGTGAGTATTTTTCGCAGACCTAATTTTTCAGTAACAATGTACAAACTGTAAATTTTGTCTTTAAACTGGACTACCAATAAACAAGCTTTGCTACTGTCGCAATAAATGAATGTTTAATTCAGATGCAGCGGTGAAGGACAAATAAAACTCATTCAGATATTCTGTTTCAAACATCTTTAGTTGTGAATTTCATTCATTTTCACTTTATTGAAAGAGTGGTGTGCTGTTTTTAAGAGCGTGGCATGTCTATCTATGTCTTTCTAACCCCCAAGACTGCTAGTTCAATGTGCATATTGAATTAGCAGTGTAAATAAAAAGCCTTTTTTTTAAAAAATCTGTTTTTTGTGTAATTTTCCTGTCGGCATAATTAAATGTGCTGCAAAACATATTTGGCTCATATATTGTTTGTGACAGAATAACACCTTGGTGACAAGAAAATGCCGTCAAGTTCCATCTCTCCTCTGCTAATTCGACGTATTTCAGCTTTAGCATAGCATTCAAAATATTGTTGAGGTGGTGCAATATGGAATAGAAGAAATGGTCAACATCCTGGTCATTTATGTAAACGCTGACACGTTTCTTTAGTTATAACCCCAACAAGTTGGATAGTTGGCTTCCTGGGTTTTGCAGTTTGGTGAAATGTTTAACGTTGTTGTAAAATGTTGTGAAACATAAAGTACTCAGGTGATGGAGAAAGTAATAGAGTATCAGTGTGTAATGAGCCTGAATGTAGCTTCTCTGGAGCTTCTGACTTTATTACATCAATGTGACAAACAGGGGGAGCTCATGTGATTATTTGGTATGTTATATGTTAAAGCACCAGGATGGGCTTGGTGGTGAAATGCAGCTTAGGTGGTCAAAAAAAAGAACTATAATGCTCATATTCAAGTTACCATTGATGATCATTGTTAGTGTTTAAGAAAACATCTTGATCCACTTTTACAGCTGCACTAAGACACCTCAGAGGACTCTGTGCTGTTAGAGCCATTCTCCAAAACTAGACTAAAACTAAACTAAACGAGCTAGAAATTGCAAACAAAACCACAAACATTACTCAGAATGCACTCCTTGGACAATTGAAACCTGAGACTATAAACCACCTAATATGACCAACAAAGCGTTCCGTTTTAGCTGCCGCTGCCATCCATTAGCTTTTTGTCTAATACGACCATTTTGTGTGAATGAAGTCTGGGAAACCACAACAAATAAGTTTTTAAAAAAAAGAAAGAAAATGGGTGGAAAGTGCCTTTAGTGGCGGTTCGTGTTTCCTAAATCTGATTTTCCAAAATAGGGTTGGAAGGAAATTCAATTAAAGGTTTGGTGTCACAATTCTTCAAAAAAAAAAAGTACCTCTCAGTTCAAGTCTAACAAAACAAGACTGAAAGAAATCATTTCAGTCTTGAACAATCATTCAAGCAGCCACACTGCAATCTGATTTTCGTTAGGTCCATGTTTTTTGGGAGAATTACTTTTTTTGAGGGTAATTTTGAGAAAAAAAAGTACATTATATCACCTGTTTTGGAATTTCTATATATATTTTCCCTATTTTAAGGGCTCAGAAGTAATCCATTTTACAGCTCCATGAGGCCTGTTCCATCATTATTTAATGACAAATTAGGCAGATAAATCTGGAGTTCATCTTGAGTTGATTTCAAGTCTCAAACTTGATGGGGAAAAAACCTTTCACAGGTCAGCAATCAACAGATGTCTTTATAAAAAAGGAAATCCTGACAGTTTAAGAATCACCTGGATTGTATTCTTCAATAGCCCAGTCAGTCACATGATCTGAACCCAGTGTAGCATGCTTTTCAGTTACTGAAGGCCGAAAGACCCACAAAGAAGCAGAAACTGAAGGTGGATGCAGACGAAAGCATGCATTTCAATCACATCTCTGCTCTTTGATATGAAATCCACTGTGGTTGTGTACAGGGACAAAAATCACAAATATGACATGTCCAAAAACTTATGGACCTAACTGCAGGACTACCTTAAGGTGTAGACTAGCATTAGCTTGTAGCACACTACAAGCTAATGCTAATATCACGCAGTAATGATACGACTTAACTGAAGTTGATGAGGAGAAGAGGAAAATTTTAATTAGTTTGTTAGTTACGATCTTATATTCTGCTCTTCTCCCCTTTTCTGGGAGGCAGTGGGGAGGTGGAGCGTACAGCCCGATCCGGCGGGGAGGTCTGGGAAGCCAGATTGGGCGCCCCCCTTCCGGCTCCCCTCTCTGCTCTCTCCTATCTTGTCCCTTTTGTGTTACTTCTCTCTATCATCATTTCTAACCTTTTGAAGAATTTAGGCTCCATAAATGCTAAAGAGGTAAGTATTATTTCTCAGTTGCAGTGAATAGATAGAAAATAAACTGTAGGAAACTAAACAGAAGAAAGGAGAAGAGAAATAACAGTTTAACATAAACCAGTCACACGCTCTAGGGCCTGATCAACCCTGGCAGGGCCTCCTTATATGAGGGGGTCTAGTGATAATGGCCGAAACACCCGATGAATCCAAGGTCCACTACTGACGATGTGTCCTAAACTTTAAAATGATAATCTAGATCAGATCTCTAATCCCTAAACCTAACCAAGGAAGGAAAATGGCAGATTAGCCTGGGTAAGACCGAAAGTTGAGGCACAGAACGATGTGTACTGCTGGCAAAGTTTCTGGGCAGCCTTTCCTCATGACAGCCATCCCTCAAGAGTCTCTCCATCTAAAGCAATGCACTATCAGGGACTGTAACATCTAGTCCTTTTTCCTGAATCTCAAGACCTCATGAATGTCCATTGTTGACTGAATAGCAGGACAGTGAGATTTAGGAGTATGAAGTATGAAAATAAACATGGCAATAAAGCTCCCGCAGCTGGCATTTAATGTTTGACACCAACCAGTTTTCAGCAACAAAATTGAGAAAAATATGTGACATTAAGAGGAATATGAGACTTTAATGTATAAGAGATGTGTAAATAACACATTAGGCTGTGGTTTTTAATGGCTGTGCATCAGTAAGTGGAAAAAAGCTCTTAATTTCATTCTGGGGACAGAGTGAATAATTAAAAAGAAGTAGCGCCTAATGCTGCTGAAAGCTGGTGACTAAAACCATCAGTTTGGTCCAATTTGAAGTTTAGTTTCAAAAAGTCAGAACTGGTCAATAGAAATACTGAACATAAAAACATCACCTTTCAATTTTAAGTGTAAATCTTCTCCAAACAAAGGACACCAAAGATATTAACTTGGTTTATAGACAGAGAAGCACAAATCTTTGCATTGGCAAGTGATTTCTAGTTTGCTAAGGTGGTACACAATCAATATAAAATGAACCAGCTCCACTAGAAACATCAGCCACAGCATCTTTCATTTCATTTTACTCCTCGGGTCGGAGATGACAACGGTTAAATCAATGTCTCGACTACAGTACACGATTTGATACGTGAGGATGAAAGTTTGATGTCATATTCACACCTATGCATTTGTTTTCCAACAGTGTTCAGGTTACAATTTGCAGGTTTTTTCCTCCGCAAAGTCCAACAGCCAGCAAGATCACGCCAAAACCACCAAGACGAATTCCACAAACCTGGTGAAGCGTATCCAAAAAGGAAGAACCCATTCAACTCTATTGTGAATCTGGATTTCCTTATTTAAAATTGTATAATGCGGTATGGCTTTGTCCTTGTCTGCCTCCGTTTGTCTTATAATCAGAATTTTTTGCCACTATGTGACAGAAAATAACATTTCTTGTGACTCGAATACAGAATTCTGTTGCAAGTTTTCAGATTCACATGTCATCCTGTCACATCATCCTGCTTCACAAGCTGAAGTCTTTAGAAGGTGAGTGAGAAGCTCAGTACAGAACCTCACTGTGAGAGCAGTTCAGGTCCGCTGCTGCAGGTCTGTCTGTAATCTCGTTCCTTCATGTGAGCTGCATCGTCCAGCAGCTTCGTCCGAACGGACTCATCTACCGTCAGCTCGAGTGTCACCTCTTTGAACACTGCACACTGCGACACCTGCAGCAAGCAAGACTTTGTATTAAATTCCCAAACCAGAGGTTTATTTTATAGAGCATATCCACAATTCCACACAGTGAGATCTGGTTACCTCTTGGAAGTGGAGCTTCTTGAACATGGTGATGCTGACCTGGTTCTCCAGCCCGATCTTTGCTTGGAACTTTCTGACCCCGAGTTTGGTGACTCCTGATGGAGGAAAACACGCTAATCACCACCATAAAAGAACTGTTTTTTACAAATGTAATGTAAAAACTGTACTATACTGTCTACAGTACTTAAAAAAAGGCTGAAAAAATCTTTCATTTCCATACAGAAATCTTTAAAAGTCTGACAGACTGTTCTGGCTGCCTCACCATAGCACATCATCATACGTGTCACCTCCTTTCCGATGCCCTTGCCTCTGTAACTGGGCTCTGTTAAAAAACAAACAATAAAAAACACTTCTTCTTTATCACAGAATCAAAACAATGTAACAACTGAACACAAAGTCTGCACCGAGCATGTAAAAATGCACTGGTTACTCTCTTATAGATGTTTTTAAGAACCTGCTATCATGATCTCCAGCTCAGCCAGCGAAGGGTCTGTTGGATCAGTCAGGAAGATGTTGACATCTCCCACCATGCACTGCTCCTCCTCCACACTGGGGTCAGCCCACCGCTGCTTGTCCAAAATTATGAACGTGCACTCTGGAAAGGCAACATAGAAACACACAAACACAATGAAAATGCTTTTCTTGGCATTGCTTTCCTATCATGTCTACTGACGGCTCCTCACTGTCGTCATCTTCCCTCCAGCTCTTCTGCATGTCGTACTCCTGATCCAGGGTCAGCGGCTCTGAAGCGGTCAGCTGCTGCAGCTCCGGAGACTTCATCCACTCATGATACCTGGATGAAGTTAAACTCACTAATAAAGACGCCCAGGAAATATGAAATAACAAAGACAGCTGGTTACTATGATCAAACTAAATTACTCAGAAATTGAAACATTTGCTGTAATAATAAAAAATAAATAAATAATGGGTTGAGAAAACTCTATTATTGCCAGAATTAATTATGAACTATATGTTTTAATACAGATATGATATGGGAGGTATTTGTGATTTTGCTGTGAAAAAGGCTATAATAGAAGACAGCTGTGGCAGATATGCATCTTGCTTCTGGCTCAACCTGTTCAGGAGTTCTCCAGCTGGCTATGTCAATAAAACTGCTGCATGACAAACTATTTAACTAACTTTTACAGCCACACTCACATGTAAAGAAGCATCCGATGGAAAAATCATACGATGAGCTGAATGAGAACTCAGAGAAAAACATCTGCATGACTGTGTGGCTCAGTCATTTTATTTCAGTGTTATATGACAGGTTATCTCTAACATTAATTTAGGGTGATGAACAGTTTAGAAACACTCTTATAGTGCAATACATCTTAACGAGTTGCAACACAATAGTTAATAGTGCAAAAGCAGAGAAAAGTCTAAGATTATGCCTATTATGATTACTAAAGACAAATAATGTGTCATCAAGCAGTAAATATGACCTGAACGGATTAATCTTTATTCTTTGTATTGCCTTTCCTTGTGCAGTTGTAAATGCTATTGTAAACAAATGTTTTATACTTAGCACTAAAAGACTGTCACATAAAGAGACACACACATTGTAACAAAATGTGGTGATAAGAAGAGGAATAAAAGGGGGAGAGGACAGTAGACAGCTGTGATGCGGGGATCGCTTCCACTAACAGCTGTTCACGTTACCTGGGCACGTGGTTTACGTTGTAAGGAACCAGCACGACTCTGTGTCCCTCCAGTAAAGTGTTCTCGTTTAGCTTCATGGCATCAAACCGCTGATGAAGCTGTAATAACCTTAAAAGCGATCCACGTTTCTGCTCAGACACCGCTTCCGCATACACGCTTCCTGCAGCTGCGCACAGGAGTCACACAGACAGGAGGCGCCACCTGCCGGACAGGATTAGGAAGCACAAAAGGCAGGGAGGTTTTGTTTTGTTTTTTCAGAACTTTATTTGAAATTGTAAAGTGAACAGTCAATCATTCCAGTTCAGTTTGTACAGTAGACATTCAGGGCAAATAAGAGTAACAATAAGCAATACAATGAAAATGAAAATAAGAAGGGTAAATAAATAAATAAATAAAGAAGAAAAAAAGGGATGTGACAGACTTCATAGTAGCTTTGTACTTGAAAATTGTATCTGTGACAGCTCATTTGTTGAAAATTTCTGGATGAATTTCAATTAATGATAAACCTTTTTAATTTGAATTTCATTTAAGAGAGTTTAAGTAATATTCAATTTCAATTAAAAACAAACTAAATATTGGGATTGAGTTTTGAAATTTACATTTATGCATGTGGAATTTCCCTAGTAAGATATTAAGATTGACAATGGCACATAATTTATTTTCTTTGGTTTCAAAGTAAGTGATAATGTCCTTCCGGGGAGTTTAAACTTCTAACACTAACCTGTGACTCATGGATGAACCAGTCATGTGCTTACACATAACAGACAACTTGGCAAAGAAACTATTTTAAATGATTTTAAATTGTATAAAATTTTATAGCATTTTTGTATCAAGATATTAGCATAAAACCTCCATGATGTACAGTGTGCCCTTAAGTTTGAGGAAGCTGGACAGTGTGGACAACTAAAGAAGTGACAGGTCTAACCAACTATCAGCAGCTTCTGAAAGTCATATCCTTGAGAAATATCCCAAACAAATCAATGAAAGACCTGAAACAGGACCTGAGAGATGCATCAGGCCCTTCAGTACATCTGTCTGTTCACCCTCAGTGGAAAGGTGGCTGTCAAGAGGCTAATCTCTAGCGAGGGGAGATGGGGAGAAAAGGCTGAGGTATCCAAAATTAGACAAGAACTGGACTGAAAATCAGTGGCAACAGGTCTGATGAAGTGATGAATCCAAATGTACATTTTTGTATATTAAATTATTATCAGAGAAGAGCGGTACGACAATGAGTGTGTACAGCCATCTGTGGAACAAAGCTGAGGCTAAATCACGGTTTGGAGTTGCATGTCAAGCAGTGGCGTCGAGTATTTTAATTTGCCAACATGTAATACCATCTGGAAAGGACCGTGTCTTTATTTCTGAGCAATGACATTGATACCAAACATATTGCCAATGCAGTAAAAGCATAGCAGGGTGAAAAACACACCTGAACGCTACCAGTCATTGATTGGCCTCCTGCAACATTATTGAAGCAGTTTATTATCATCTTGACATAGAACAGAACAAAAGGAAGCCAACATCCAAGTAAGAATCTCCTGAATCCTGAAGATCTATTTCTGAAGACTACTGTGAGATAAATTACAAGGAAGATACCTGAGAGATTTCAGGCTGTGTAGATGAATAAAGGCAGTCATACCAAATTTTGACTTTAGTTAGAATTTTCAAATTACAGCATTTTCATCTATGTTTGCACATATTTTAATAACTTGCTGAACCTATTTCCCATTTTCTTAGTAAAACACAAAGAAAGGATGAGTGGCTCAAGACTTTTGCACAGTACCGTAAAGATTATAAAAGTTTTTTCTGTTTTTCTAAAGAAAAGAGAAAAAAAAAGAAAAAGTGACTATCCCATCCACTTATTTGTAAGATTTTTTTGTAATAAAAATAATAATTATAATAATTACAATTTGTAATAACTACTCATTTTAAGATATAATATAGTATAATATAATGTAATTTTAAAAACACACAAAAGAAAATCACGGAACAACAAACTCAAGACCATTTATCCCAGCTTGATATGGCAAGCATGCCTCTTTCTAACGTTGCTACACACACGATGGAGTTCACTCGGAAAGATCTGAGGATAAATCATAGAGGTTGAAAGACGAATAATAAGCAGGAACATGAGAATGTTTATATCAAAGTCTATATTTTGTGTTTGGCTGCTCTTATGTCACATGTTGGTGGTTTAGACTGAAAATATCTCTACATTTGAAATGCTTACAAGCTAAATAAGACTTTCCTACACAGGCTTTAAGATGATCTATATTAAAATCTGAGTCTTATTACAGCATTTTTATTAAACCCTATCATCTAATTGTTATGTTACATAGTTTCTCACATTAGAATTCATATTCCTTTGTTTTAAAGTAATACATGAATCTTCAGAGAATTGCACAAAAAATGTTACTGAAACTTGTAGGAGCCCAAATATTTATTTATGTATTTATTTATTTATTTTTCACCATTTGGGGGCAGCAAAAACTCAACTTCGTGCTGATCTGATGAATTTAAATCCAGTTTTTTTGAGTTCTGATTTGTTCAATATCAGCTACAGAAGATGACACCTGAAAATACATTTGCTAAATGTTGCACAGCAGCAGCTGAAAATAACACTTTGAGAGCAGTGAACGAAGAGAGTAAAGCTACAGGTCAAAAAACTAAACAATGAGCTTTTCTCAGCTTTTTTCCTTTGATGTATTCCAGAGTTTCCTGTAGAAATTTTTCTTAACAAATGGTAGATGATTGATTCATACTTATTTTATTTCATTTTTGATATCTACTCATATGAGGATGCTTTTAGCGTTAGGTGGGTCTGCGCAGTCCGTGCCACAGTGTGACGGGCTCCTGTGCCGTGTTGACCATGTCTATCCAGTGCTGCAGCTGAGGACCCCTGGAGTACATGAAGGGACCCAACACCACCACTCCCAGAGGGGTCGGAGGTTCTGAGAGGAAAAGAAACAGAACCAGTGAGAAATGTTATCTTCTGAAGATGCTGTTTTTTACTTATTTTTTTTAATAATAAATTCCTAAGAGGAAACATTTTTAAAAAGGGAAAAAAGAAGTTTTTTTCTGTTACACATAAACTTTGAATAAGAACCTTTATTTCCAATGGACAGTTTGTAAAAACCCATAAAGCATTAAAGACAAATTAGCAGTAATGCCTAACCTTGGACTCTCCAGACTGATAACATTTTATTAAATATGATTATACCTCTACTAATAAACAACTCAAAAAACTCAATAAATATAAATAATATAACTATAAACAAGAAACATGCTTTTCAGTATACTTAGAGCTTTTCTAACATTTTACTTCTTTAAAAGAAGCCCTAAAACACTCGACATTCTTTAAATGTCAGGTAGGTGAGGTCTTATTGTTTAATGTCAGAAGTTATATGTCAGAAATTAAAATTTTAAAATGACAAAGATGAGTGTTTGATGAAAAGCTTTTAATGCCTATCTTATGAAACACTGACACATTGATCATTTCCATTAATCTCCAAACAAAGTTTAGATCTGAAGTTCAGCCCGTCCAACAGTCACCTGAGCGGACGCTGCTCGGCTGCTGCAGCTCAAACCTCACGCAGGCCTCGTCCAGGTGCTGAGGTCGCAGTTTAAAGGTCGACCTGAAGTTGAAGTAGGGGTCATTTTCACCTTTCACCACACAGCTGCGCTTCATCTTCACCACCTGAGTGTGCTTTTGTAAGCTCACCTGGACACACACACCTTAGAAACACACACAGGTGCTGTATTACCGGACATTCCTTTGGTCATAAGCAGATTTATCTCATACTTTCTTTCTTTTGTAGATAAACAGTGGATTTGTGTACTCCACACAAGCTCCATCCATAACCATAAATCACCTCGTACCTGCGTCTGTGAGCAGCTGTATGCCTCGAGCCCTCAAAACCACCACTGAAAGGCGCTGCAGGGACGTACTGTAGCTGAGAGATATCTGCGCATCCCCCAGCTCTGAACACTGACAAGCACAGCAATCATGAACTTTTAGCTTTGCACTCATGTGTGTGTGTGTGTGTGTGTGTGTGTGTGTGGTTGTTTGGTGTGTACCTGTGGGTCTTCCTCAGTCTCAAGGTCTCTCCAGAGCACCCTGCCAGCCTGACCGAACTCCCCCTCCAGAGAAAACAGCACCCTACCCACCACATGGCGTTTACCATCCTGCTCCACACTCAGCACACACACACTCAGGGTGCTGTGAAGCACACGCAACGCTGACACCTGTGGAGCCAATGTACTCATTCCTCAACATCAAAAAGCAGATTTCATATATCCACAATATTTATCTGAGCTATGACCTCAGTCAGTCTTTCTCTGTGTACTGAATGAACTCTGATAAATTGTTGTTCTTAGTATTTAATCACTGCAGAATGGGAACAATACTGTTGCCAATACAGACATTAGACCTTCACCCATGATTCTGAAGTCAAGTGTGAAATTGCACAGACTGCGTTCAGTTTTGTTGCTCCTAACTCCCAACGCTCCCTTTAAACTTTCAGAGAATGATATCCTTCAAGCATTTTATGATCATTATACTAAAAATTAGAAAAATCTCTGTGCCCATCTGACCCTCCATCTCTTCTTCCTCTCTCTCAGTGGGTGTATTACGTGGGACCTGGGTATCAGTATTTGTCCCCTTTCACATCTCCAGTCAAAACATTATAAAAACATAAATGATATCAGCTTTAAATAAAAGTTAAGGAAATCATTTTTGTCTTCTCTTTTGTCTCTAACTTCTAGATGTGAACTTCTGGAAACTTTTCTGCCCTCACCTGGAAAATGAAGCAGTCGGTGAACTCGGGGTCTGGACCCGTGCCCCGGGCCTTGGCTTGACGGGGCCGCCTGTCATCAGGGAGAAGTCTGAGCTCCACCATCGTGACGTTGCCATGGAAACGTGGAGGGAGGTTGCTGAGGCGGAGCAAGAAGACCATGAGCTGTTCGCTGCTGTGTCGATACTCCACGGAAAAGCAGAGGCGGGAGACCATGCCGGGAGGGGGGGCCACCACCTCATTTAGAGGAGGTACAGAGTAGAGACCAGCCAAAACCGTCCCCACTGGGTACCAGCCTGAAGGAAACAGCAAAATGTCACAGTTTTTCTTCAACTTAATGAAAGCTATGTGATACTTTGGTGTAATTGTCAGGCCCAGGACTGGCCCTGTTGGTTTGAAGGAGTGTAGGTGAGCTGGTCCCCCCCCAAAGCGCCACATCTGTCCAGACTGAAACGTCTTAACAACAATAATATCCTCTTCAGGTGATCGTAGGTGAATGCTCTTATTATCCTCTTATGTTTCCACAAGCATACAACCAGCACCAATAAAGTGGCTCTAACTGTCTTGATACGCTGTCATATAAAAAGAAACAATGACCTACTCCTCACTGAGAGCGACCCACGATGAGCCAGTACGTCCCGCTGGGGATCCTCCTCCTCTTTCTTGTCCTGCTCGTTATTTTTCCGATCTCCATGGTTTTGTGTGATGAAGCGAGGAGGTAGAGTGAAAGCGATCTCACGGGGCCTTCCACACATAGAGACAAATAATATTAAATGAGTGTTGAGTGGAGCTGCAACTGCCTTTAGCAAATAGCTGTCAGTGGTCAGAGATGTCAGTAAAATTCTGACAAAATTCCTCACAAACTCAAAAATAATAGACGCTGTGCCTTATGTCAAAATGTTCTCACACAAAAAATCTTGGAAAAAAAGGGAAATATGGGCTATTAAACAACATCTGTTAAAAACTAGAAACAAGATCTAACAGATAAAGACTTAAACATATACTAGCAAATAGAAGATATGCTGGCTTTATGTCGTGAAATACATTTTTAATCTTTAGTCTATAAAGATTGATATTTTCTCAGTACTCATGGGCCCAATCACAACCCAAATTGTTATAGTTTTGTCACTGAGTTTTAGTGTTAGTGTGCTGGCAAACACCTCCTGAAGAACTCAAATCTGCCTTAGTGATTCCTGCTACAGGAGGTATCTCCAGGACCACACAGATTCACAAGGAAAAACCAATATGAGCCATAGTGTAATACTGGGAACCACCTGCAATCTCTGATGAGGACCGTGTGATAAAGCGGAAAGCCTCTGAGTCTTATTAATATGTAATATTTTTTTAATTAATAAATTAATGCTTCAAGAGCCCGTATGTAGATATTTTATGTAAAATGCTCACTAACGTGGCCCAGGAGCCCTGAGACACCAGGATCACTGGAGCAGAGCATGCCGGGACTGAAGGCACTGCAGAGAGCAGCTCTTCATACTGCATCTGCTCTTTTTTCCTCCTCCTTAGGTAGCACACTATCAGAATCAGCAGCAGCAACAGCAACAGGACACCCACAGACAGACCAACAGCAAGCTGTAACATGTGATCTGAACAAAACACAAAGCGGAGGAACGATAGGGTGTAATACAGGTGTATCACAGGCAGTAGGTTTAATCTAGATTCCTGCTCACCAGCCATGAAGAGGTCAGCTCCAACACGTGAATAACTTTTCTTTCCTTGTCAGCTGACTCAGACAGACTCACCAGGAATGAAGCTACTGCTTAGCATTCATTGTTAATGTGAGAGGTTACCGTTTGTGACTCCGCAGAGCTGTGAGGGTGCGACACATCTGGCTGGTTCCCATGCTGTTATATGCATGGCCGGATTAATCTCCTGAGGACCCACCGGGCAAAAATTTGCCGTTGGGCTCCAGTGGAGCCTCAAATTAATTCTAAGTTAAATTAATTCACTAAACAACCAGAAACTAACTTGAGCTTTAGAGTGGAATTTATTTGTTAATTGTTTGCTTTGCATAAATTAAAAGATGAAACATTTAATAAATGGTTTTGTCTCATTTTTTCCTTGCAGAGAGACATTTTTTCGTTGGGTTTGATGGTGCTTTCCGGTTTTAAGGATTTATTTTTGTTCTTGTTCATTGTCAGAACTGACAGTCTTTTGTGATCCAGCTTAGAGACTGGCAACTACTGGCATTCATTAACTTCCTTAGTGAGCCATTGCTTCAGTTTTACACATGAAGGTCAGTTTCCCAACCATGACAAGCACCCAGTCATGCAAAATTGCAGATCTGGAAGAGTGTCCTTAAAAAACGTCACGAAAAAAAACCCTGTTAATGTCATCAAGCTGTTAGCTGTGTTGTGGTAAATTATTCTTAGAATAAGTCAGGATATTTTGGTCTCAGCTGCATTTCTCTTGTTTGTGTCTCTCTTACTTAAGTGCTGAAGTGACTCTGCTGCATCACATCTTAAAACAAGACTATGTCTTCTGTTCTTTTGATCCTTTATTAGACTTTGAATCTGAGGGAACTTGTTTTATTCAAAGAATTATCCAACCTAGTGTCACTGGGGGCTCTGTAGTACCTCATAGCTAATATAAGAGTAGCAACAGTAAGGTCCATGAGATTTTGGATAATGGCAGGATTTTTGTGATTTCTCCGTACACCTCTACAGTTGAGTTTAAATCAAACAATCAGTATGTGACTCCCAGGAGCCCTTAAGTATTCTCAAGGGGATAAAAAGATGGTCCAATGTTCCAGCACCAGGACAAAAACCACATTGTTCCTCCTGAATCTGAGGTTCAACTGGTGAACCAGGGATTCATTTCGGAGTGACTGTAGCTCAGGAGGTAGAGCAGACCATCTACTAATCAAAAGGCTGGTTGGTGAGTCTGCATGCCAAATACCCTTGGGCTAGATACTAACCGATTATCATTCAAAGTATGAATGTGTGTGAATGTCAGATAGAAAGCACTTGTGCATTTATGCAGAAAAAGCACTTCATACTCAAAGTATAAAGTGCTTTGAGTGCTCAAGTAAAGTAGAAAAGCACTATATGAGAACCAGTTCATTTACCAATAACTATTCAACTCTTCTCCAGCACCCTGCCTCAGACTTTGCAGGGGGGGGCAGACATCTTAAAGATGGGAACCACCACGCCAGTCTTGGATAACCTTATCTACCTTATCTACCCCAGGGGCTCTGCCACTGAGCAGTTGTTTAACTGCATCAGTAACCTCACCCCAACAAGAAGCAGATGGTCACTCTCTTTCCCAGATTCTGGTTCCATTGCAGAAGGCAAGGCAGTGGGATTGAGGAGTTCCTTAGTGTTCCTTTAACTGCCCGATTACATTCTCAGTTGAAATCAGCAGCATCCCACCCCACTATATACAGTTTGATTAGAACATTGCTTTATCCTGAAATGAAGATCTTGTGGAAGGGGCCTCTGCACTGCCCTTAAAATGTGGTATCAACATTCATGGTATAAGAAAGGTGACTGATTGTAATGAAAACACCTGACTTTACCTTTGTAACCATTAGGAGCTCAAAGTTTCTACGCATTCTGTAAAATATATCTCTCGAATGGTTGACTTTCGAACATAATTAATTTAAACATCTATATGATTTCTTTTGCTCGTACAATAGTCTGCACACACATACAATGGTGGTCATGACAGCTGGCCTGACCTTAACTCAGAATCAAAATAAGCCACTTGCTTACCCACTGATCACTTACACACACGCATTCATCCACACGCTCAGACTGCTCAGAGATTGGACGGCAGCTAATAAGATGACCGTTAATCTTCTGGGCTAAAGGTAGAGTAATGGCCCCCTCTGTTTCCCCCGCACGTCAACATACCAAAGAACTCAAATTCACAAAAGGAAATCATCACATTTACACCGATGCCAGCTTCAAATGAAGTCCAGCTAAGACAGAGAGGGAGATTAAGCTTGAGCAAATTGACAACAGACAGACACAGAGTGCGAAGCTGTGGGTTGTTTTAATGCTAGAGACAGCAAAGGTGATCTTATTAAGAAGTGAGGGAGGAAGAGAGGGGAAGGAATGAGGGGAGGAAGGAAAGACACCATTTAGGGCTACCCGCTCTGTGGCATGGCAGAGGCTAAAACAGGACATAACTTGTGAACTTAAAGGTAGGACTTTACTATTTGTTTTTTTCTGTCTTATGTAATACTGTTTTGCTTATGTGAATAACCATTATGGGTAACTAAGAGTTTATGTTGTGCAGATTAGGTAGTCTGGGTACCATCGGGTCAGTTGTGGTCTAAATACTACTAGGTCAGTTTGGGACAGAGCTGGACAGAGCCAGCAAGGTAATGAAATAAGAATGCAGGCTTTTTTCTTTTTATCAGAAATAGTAGCATTATAGTTATGAATCATGAATGAATAGAAGAAAAAAAGAGGAAAAGCATGAACAAATCAAAGATTTAAAAAAGGTTGATTGTAATTTATTCTAAACTCCACCATCCAATGTAGTTATCATTCTTTGTCTCTTTCGGGTCTTCGTTAAATGAGTCCCAAACAGGCTTTGTAGTTCCGTCTCAAACAATTTACCCTTTGTCTCGTTGACCAAATAATCTGGATTGTGTAATCTTATTTGGCTAATCTGGAGTGCCTGCGGATGTGTGGGGGTGAGCATATACGTGCACTCAGTGCGAGCATCGGCCTTCTCATCCAAGTCTTGGCATGCATTTCCTAAACTGTTGAATTTAGTTTTAGTAAGGTGGTCAGATGTGATGTTTTCAATAATGAACTGTATCATGTGACATTATGACAATCTGCAGCTTCCCTTGACTCTATGGAGCTGTACAAGTACCAAACTTGGTACCTGTAAGGGGGCTAAACACATAAAACTAGAGTTACACCCACTACCTACTTTTTTGAGTGGTTAGTTGGGGAACAATTTTTCTACCTCTCTACTAGAATCAAAATAAGCTACTTATTTTAACCTACATATCCATGAATTTAAACTGTAATTTGAGTATGACACCATAAATAATACACATTGTTCCAAACAACCTGCTATGCCTGCAAATAGCTTTTTGACTGATAACCAATGACTTTTACTAACTGAATGTTTAAATCATCATAAAAGTGTCCTGACATCACTGCACAGAGTTGTTAATTATTGTTGAAAATTCTGACATTTAACACTGAAATGTTTGATTAAGAAACACACACAAGACTAGTTCAATTCAATTCAACTTTATTTATACAGCACCAAATCACAACAACAGTCGCCTCAAGGTGCTTTATATTGTAAGGTAGACCCTACAATAATACATACAGAGAAAAAACCCAACAATCATATGACCCCTGTGAGCAAGCACTCTGGCGACAGTGGGAAGGAAAAACTCCCTTTTAACAGGAAGAAACCTCCGGCAGAACCATGCTCAGGGAGGGGCGGGGCCATCTGCTGCGACCAGTTGGGGTGAGAGAAGGAAGACAGTAGTTTCAACTATTTATAAGACAAATAATCAAAATATAGTAAAGTGACTTTGATTGAGTAATCAACAGGGTATTTAGTCATGTGTAAACTATTACGTTGCAAAAATAACCTTCCCAACAATGGTGATACTGTATGTCAGTATTGTGTCATAGAAGTGTTGCTGCTTCCCTCTTAGTGGCCAATACTTTTGCATCAGTGAAAAACAGTGAATTAATGTTAAAAGGTGTGTCTTCCCAAACAGGTTAGTGCCGTTACCATGGCGAGGGCTGGGCGCCCTGCATCTGAGAGCTACCAGCCAGCTTGCTTTTCTGTCAGTCAGTCGCTCTCTTACTCCAGTGGAGCTCCAAAGGTGGAGGATGAAGATGATCAGGCACCGATTTTCTCCCTCTCTAAGAGCTCCATGGATGTTTTAATGGCTGCAAGTCCGCCACACAAGCGTGATCCAGCGTGGACCAGACTGGACCTGAGGCGCAGCTCAAGCACAAACACCCACTATGAGCAGAACTCCGTGACACTGCAGCCGCTGCACGCTTACATGTGGCAACATGTCAACACCACCAACAGCCACCAGTTAGCATCCACAACCAATAATGTTGACATCAATAGCTCTCCTGCTCTCAGCGAGCATTGGGTTTCCAACATGCAGCGATGGAGCGGGTGTAGCGGTAGCACACATAGCCGCAGCAGCACTCCGGACACAGTCGTGTCACGCCCCTCCAGTCTCACCCATGAAGCCACTTGTTCTGCAGCACCAGATTCTCCGATGTCCAAACTGACCTCTCCAGAAGCCACACCCTCACCGTTCATCTCCCCGCTCAACACACCTACTTTACCACCTGTACAGACTTCTTCTTCACCACTTCCACTGAACTCACTGCAGGAGGAAGATTTACTAGAACTTTCACCTACATTCTCATCCCCAAAGATTGACAACTCTTCAAGCTTTCAGTCCCACTCTCCTGAAACACTCCAGCTCACCAGCACAGAAGATGAAGGCTTCTTGGAGAATAATTCCCTTTCATTTCAGTTCCCTTCCCCAATCCTGTCCTCTGTTAGTTTAGATGAAGCAGGAGTGTCTTCAAATCCCGAATGCCTTGTTGATGACGTGATAGAACCGCTGTCCAGCCCTACAGGAATACTGGAGGGTGAAGAAGCAAGAAGCCCTGTGCAAATGCTTAGCTACCTGACACCTGATTCTCCAAAGCAGCAGTCAAAAACAGGACCATCTGTCTGCTATCTTGAGCTGCCGTGGCAGCCAGAGCAAATCTGTGCAACAGGTCGAGGTTGGGGGTCACCACTTGTCTCTTCCCTGAGTGACTCACGGTTGGGTGACACTTGCAGGTGCTGCTTAAATGCCAGAGAGGGCACTGAAAGGGCAATGAAGGTAGAGCTGTTCAGGCAAGAAGCTCCACCGGTGTCACGGCCAGAAATGGCAGATGCAGCTGTGCAGACGGTCTCTCCTGTTGGCTCATGGTGGGACCTCAAGAGGAACATTTCCACATCCAACATGGGGTCCCATTCTATCTTGGGCTCGCCACCTGGATCCAGACTGAACCTGAAGTCTTCAGCAGGGTCTAACTCCAATCTAGTATCAGCATCTTCCAGCATGTTCCCAGTTAGCAGTGCAGAGGAGGAGGAAAAACAAGTCGAAGACCCTGCATTGGAAGTTACCTCTGTTTCTTCACATGATCTGGAGAGCAGGAGGCCGTGTCTGAAGATTCAGGCAGAGGATAGGGATGAGCTAGGTGGAAGGAGGAGCAGTATGAAGCAGGTGCAATGGGATGAGGATGGTATGACATGGGATGTTCATGGGGCATCTGTGGACCCTGAAGAGTTGAACACAGCCATACTAAAACATCTGGAAAGCAAGAACAGCCCAGAACCGCCAAGACGTTCCTCAAAGAAGAAGAAAGCACCTAAACCTCCTCAAAACCTTGATATCACTGTGTCCCCTAAGAATGAAGGAACAGCAGAAGCAGAACAGGGTAGAGAAGAAGAGCAGGAAGGAGGGGGAAATAAGATAGAAATAGAAGAAGCTTCACAGAAAAAGAGTACAGCAGAAGATCACAAAGCAAAAGAAGATGAGCAAGAGATTTGTGGAGAGGAAGGCAGCCACCATTCTAAGTCCCCCTCATCTGGGAATGGACACAGCCGGAAGAAGAGTGTGTTAAGGTCACTGAGGAGGCCAAGATGGTGTGGAGCCTCGACAAAGGCAGATGACTAATATAGCTGGCTAAATTAAATCTATGATAACTAATTAAATCCTCAGGTTGCACAATATTCATAACCTTGGATTGAAGCTGAAAGAGTTTCAGAGTTCTGTTCAGCTCTATTCTAGGCTTTCTGTCAGCATGTTTTCTGTTATTAGGTACATCTTTCAACAGGTGCAACATTAGTAATGTTTTCCTCTCTCACTGGTATTCACTGTTTAGTTGAAGATAGATGTACCTCTGCTAAACTTTTCATAAAAGTCAACAGTCATCACTAAAACTTGTTCCTGTAGATGTACAATAAAATATTGGTGTCCATTGCTGAAATTCTTTGGTTTGTGAGTGATTACTACAAATGAGCAACACAATGGACATAAGGATAAGAAGTGAAGGGTAAGAGTTTCTATGTGCAAAGACATGCATTTTGGGTTTATTCGTCATTCTAAATTGAATCTAAATATTTTTTATGTGTCTTATCGAATTCACAGCCTCAGACATCTGTGAGACCCAAGTCGAGATATTTTCCACACTCTCCTTCAGACATACTCGTACTACTGGAAAAACTCTGTTGTTTAGGTCAGGGAGTTTCCTTGATGTAGCCTTTAGCAAGGCAGTACACACGTTGTCCACTGGTTGGCAGTGAATGCATTATTATTCTCACACCGCTACAATCTGACATTACTTTGACTTTGTACAAGAGAATTGGCGTGCTACCATAAGACCAGTTAATGTCTGATCCACTTGGCCATTTGTATTTTCAAATGCACCGCTGTGGGTAAAGTCAAAAGTACATGTGTAAAAACAGCCTGTTAGCCCTTTGAAGGTTTCGTAACTGTCCAGGGCTCTAGCCTCACTGAGCCCTAGTGTAATAACCAGATCAGAAAAGAGATTGATGGATGGATTGATGTTCCTACACACATTGGAGTTGGGGGCCAGTCGAACTATTGCCCAACTCTTTTTGCTTAGTTTGTTTAGTTCAAGCAAAATAAATACATACATTGACATTTCACTGCAAATAAATGTTATGTACTGGGCAGGTTGCTGGTTACCAACCACTCCGCACATTATGACTTTAATAAACACAACAAAGGAATATACACAGTAGCTAAGTTAGCTCTCTGCACAAATATGTGTTTTATGTTATTAAGCACGAATCCCTTAAAAATGTACTTTTGCGCGTTTGTGTTAAAACTATGAATGCACGAATGTGTTTGTAAATGGGGTTTTTTATTTTAAAAGTGCTACCTGGAGTAAAGGTCTGAGTCCTTCAAAACCTATTACAAAAATCTTCAACAACAGCAACAACAACAAAATAATAAAATGAAAATGTTTCAGAAATACACATTTTTTAATTTTGGTCTCTCTTCTAAAATGTGTAATTGTTTGGCTACTTTGTTGTTTGAACTTTTAAAGCAACACGTCACCTCACTCAACTCGTTCGCTGCGGGGGGGGGGGAAAACACACACACAACGTTCAACTGTATGTAAACTTGGTGAACCACAGTTGTGAGTTTTGGCCATTCAGGCATTGCCATTCAGATGAGCAGGCACATTCTCTCTCATTCACCAAGGGTAAAAAGGCTCAGCTCACTAGTGGCTTCTACTGCAGTTATTGTTGTCATATTTTCACAGATCTGGATTTGTGTGTAGAAGAAGCAGGAGGGTCACTTGTATTTTTATGAAAATTGATAAGCCAATAAGTTATAAATAATTTACAAAATAGTCTGTCAAAAGAATTTAATTTAGGTGACATAAACACATGAACACGTTGTTGTTAATATTTGGGTGAACGGACTGTAGTAGAATCAATAATGGTTCTTTAAAGCTGATATATTTTGTGCTATTTAAAAGTTCATAAAATTTAATAAAGATGTAAAGTATTCAAACACTTGTGGCTTTTAACGTCCTTCACCAAAATACCCACGAGGTGAGTGACAATTCAAAAATAAACCTAGCAGCTCTGTGAGGCTGGAAGTGTGATTTGGCACACAAGTGCAAATAACAGTCAAGGTCCATTCACAAATGAATAGGAAAGCAACCCTCTCAGCCACCAGAGAAGACCTCAATATAGGAGCTCAAACTGCTTTCCAACCAGATGGTGACGCCTCCAAACCATCATGGCAGATGGCTGCAACTCTCAGACCTGGTTCTGATGGAGGTTTCTTCCTGTAAAAAGAGAGGTTTGCAAAACTATTAAAATTATAGATAATGCTATCATTAGTTCAACAGATGTTTAAATGTAAAGCAGTGGAATTTTGACCTGATTGTGGAGATTATGATCGGGAAGTTGACGTAGGAATCATCCTCTGCGAAAAATTCATGTTCACACAAAATATTATGCCAGTCTAGCCAAAAGCTATGGGTTTATTTTTTATGTATTTCTGAAAATAGTGAGAAATGAATTTAATCTTATTGAAAATTTGTATGTGTAAGAAAACCTGAAAATCTAAAAACCTAAAAATGAGAACAACTGAAATATTTGACATCTCTTCACAATGATGTTGACAGCGTGAGATCTGTTACGTGTTCTAGCTGACCAGAGTAAAAGTTTGTTTGAGTTTATATGAGTCATTTATACACTGGGTGTTGTATTTTGACCTCTAGAATCCACCCCAGTTTTTATTTCCCCACTACCAGTTTTGAGGGACACTACTAATCATAGGAGCTCAAGGTAAAAACATGTTTTCTTCTGGGTCATGTTTACACAGTGAGAACTACACTGGTTATTTGGAATACCAGTTTATCTAAATAGTCCACATGCAGAGATAAAGGTCATTTTCAGGTCACTATGTCACTGCTTTAAGTCACGTGACATGATGTGATGTTTGTTTGCATACAGTACTATGTTGTCTTTGTCTTGCATGCAAATTAGTGTCATGTGAGCAAACTATATGTGTGTGTGAAAGTGCTGATGGGACTCCCCAAAATCCCCTGTTTTTCATTTACAGTGGAAACTCCAAAGCTAGAGGAGAACTATCCAGCGCTCAGCCTTTGTTGTGACACGGCTCATTGTCCCTGGAGGTGTGTTGTTTTTGCGTGTGTGTGTACCTGTTTATGTACATCTGCATGTGCTTGGTATAAAAAGCGTGGAACGCAGGCCGGCCGGTGATTCTCTGGAAGACGATGGCTGTACCAGGACCTCCTCTGCTTCTGCTGCTGTCTCTGTTGCTGCCGCTGCTGTTGAGCAAGGCGACCCTGCCTGCAGCTGCATACACACTCACCTCTGAACAACAGCCACAGCATAAAATCCTTCACCTGGGTGAGGACTTGAAAACACTTCTAAATATATGAGGAAAACAAAATATTTGGTGCTCATATTTTCTGCCTTTCTCTTTTTAGACTGGCCTAAGGATTGTGGTATGGCCCACTTCAAGCCCAACATGGCTGAAAGGATTGTGTCTGGGAATGAGGCCAGGCCTCACTCTTGGCCCTGGCAGGTTTCTTTGCAGGTAAACCTCTTTGACGTGGCTCAGTATTCAAAGAATCTGGAGGTCTTACATTGACCTAAAAAGGTCATTTCAGTTCTAGACTGTAACTAATCATTATTTTCATTATCATTTTAAGTGATATGTCTAACCTATCTGTATTCTTAAGGAGAATTCAATTGTGGTTTAGGGATGGGAATTTTAGGAGTTTCTGAGAATCACTGGTTTATTCAGAAGTGACCATGAAAAGCCTTTAAAGCACAGAGTCTTCACTTTTATTGTCATCTCAAGTAATATTAATCTGCCAAATTGGCCGAAAACAGTCAAAAGTCATAGATGACCTGAACATTTAGCCAATTACCCAGCACATGCCTTCCACCCAGAACTACATCATTTTTAGACTCTAATTTCCACTCAGGTTTTGGACCACCACACAAGGAGGAAAAATCACAAACAAATTTACTTGATCAGCAGATGCAGTTTTGTTTCTGATTCGCACCCCAACCAGGCGAGACAGATGGTCGCCCACTCGGAATTTGGAGACTCTCCTCTTTACTGCAGCCAATTGCTGCTCACAAGGGAAACTGATGAGTTCCTCTATGTGATATTCAGTTTATTTACTCTGGAACTTCTTTGCAGAACGTAGTATTTAAAATTTACATTTACATTTATTAGTGATGAGAGAAACATGTATGACTAGGCTCATTTTTTTTAAAAACTAAGGAAAGCCAGTTAATTTCAGTATCTGAGCGGTAAGAAGCCACATTTTTTGAGCTGGTTGTTTCTCACAGGTTCGGCCTAGAGGAAGTAAACAGTACATTCATGTCTGTGGAGGCACTCTCATCCACAAGACCTGGGTCCTTACTGCTGCTCACTGCTTCCAAAAGTAAGATATCATTTAGTACACTTATAATTTCATGCTTATACCAATTCAACAACTACACAAAAACTACACGTGTTTTTCGTCTATCAGGGGTAAAGCTGAGGACGCTGGGAGCTGGAGGATTGTCCTGGGGAAGCACCAGCTGAAGCGTTCAGAGACTGCAGAGAGGATTATCCCGGTGAAGAGGATCTACCGGCACGAGAACTTCCGCTATCCCGCTCACAGCGAGCTGGACTACGACATTGCCCTGGTTAAGTCTGCCACAGATATCGTCCCTTCAAACTTCATCCGCTACGCCTGCCTGCCGCGCAAGCAGACCAGCCTCAAACCAGGACACTACTGCTGGGTGACCGGCTGGGGAGACACCCGGGGTGAGTAGTGCAGAAAGGTACTGAGATGCTGTGCAATGACAGAACTTTGAGCTTAAATCTTAAAAGCAACTTAATGCCTTTTTTAGGAAAATTTCTAAGGTCTAGGGTTATTGGTAGAGGGTTAGTGGGAGAGGAACAGCAACACCTTTTTAAAGAACGATCATGTTTGGTATAATAGGCTAAATATTTTTAGCCTTCTATCTCAGATTCCACAACAGAGCTGGTGCTTTAAGGGATGTCAGAAGTATTCATCCACCGAAGAAAATGTCCATTGATATAATGTAAACACAGCTGAAAAGTCAAGAAGAGCAGAAAGACGTTAAGAGATATAATTTCTTAAATCATGTCATTTTTCAGGTGGGAAGGAGAACGTGTCTCTGGCAGAAGCCCTGAATCAAGCCCGTCTACCAATCATTGATTTCAAAACCTGTCGGCAGAAGAAATTCTGGGGAGACCGCGTCCGAGACTCCATGATCTGCGCCGGGTTCAGAGACACCGAGGATCCACCAGCTGCATGCCAGGTAGGACTACACTTAACTATCCTGAAGTCAAATTTCATCCACCAGATTCAATTCTCACCTCATCTTCCAACACCTGTCTCCATCCTCCTTTCTCAGGGTGACTCTGGCGGTCCTCTGCTGTGCCAGCTGGACCGGGACCGCTGGGAGGTGCACGGCGTGGTGAGTTTCGGCCCCATCGGTTGCACTGTGGAGAACAAACCCAGCGTCTTCACCCGCACCGTCGCCTACATCCCCTGGATCGAGGCAACGCGCATCAGGGACTTCTTCCTGCACTGAGCGCTCGCAGCAAGCATAAGCTCTGCTGTTAAATGTCTGACATCTACAGACAGTCTCACAGCCAGTTCTTTCCACTCCATGATGTTAATTCATGTTCTGAATGTGTTGTCATCTTCTTACAGTATATACTTATACTCTGGTGAAGCACTGCATAGTACACACTGCTCACCACCTTTTACATCCAATCTCATTTATGCAATAAAATTGGTTAAAAGCAAAAAACTGAACACCTCCTTTGTTTTTGTTTTTTATTTTAATCTATAATACAGTGGGTTTGATGGACACATTAACAGCATGCACTTCAAGGTACAGTTTACAGTGATTTCTTCTTCCACAGTGGGCCAGACGCCAATACGTTTCAATAAATAGAAGAGTAAACTGACCCCAAGGCTTCCCTCTGACTGCAGGTCTGAGCTGTTCTTCTATTACAGAAGAGTCTTTCAGTCCAACATGAATCAGAACATGAATCTGTTGTTATTCAAGGGCTAAACAACACAACAGATGTTGGAGGTCATCTTACAAATTGACTCACTGAACCCAAATATCATGGGTGTTTAAAATCTAGCGTAACATTAACAATCATCACAAAAAGTCATATTTTTATACCGCATCCTCACAGAGTGCTCTCATTACTGATCAGATCAGTGACAGGAACACCTCAGAGAATCAACATAAATGAAAGGAGAACTGTCACTGGACGGTCTACGTCTGGATTTCATTTTAATTCAGTTCAAAACTTTTCCAAGACACATCTCATAGTTCCCAGAATGCTCCTGGAAAACAGCTATGATGGGAAACCAGTGAACTGCGACCAATTCGCACCATGAAAAAACCCAAAAAAATCAAACAAAAAAGAAAAAAAAAGAAAAAGCATTTGACCAGAGTCTGATGCCTTTTAGCGCTGTGGTTAAAGGCTGTGTCCTCAAAATATTTGGCCCTAATGTTGAAGCAGCTGTGTGGGGGAGTTTAGTACAGCCTCGATGGAGGAGAGCCGGTGAGATGGTCCCAGTTGTTGTAGAGAGCGTAAGCACCAGACAAGGCTAAACCGACCAGACCTCCACGGGCTACGCCCTTTAATCCACCTGAGAAAACAAACAGAGTGAGTCATACGGCTTAACATGCATCACAATAATCATTTTAATTACAGTAAACAATAATTGCTTCAGCTTAGCCAAAGTACCAGGTGGGCAAAGATAAACCTAATACTTCAAACAGCATGGAGTAAATTAATAACACAAAGTTTAGGTGCTTTCCAAAGATAATCTCAGTGCCTGCGCATTCACTGTACTGCCCTTTGTAAGTCACAACATGCCCACACAACATTTATACAGCATAAGATGAAGTCAGTGCAGTATTAATGATTATGACATGTGGTTCAAAATTTAGCCTTGATTTAATATAAAGAATCCCTGCTAACAGCTTTTCAAATAAGAGAATAAGAACACTGTATGTGTCACATTTAACAAATTCTTTTGAACAAACTATCATTTTAATAGGATTTTAAACGTCTGCTAACTGACAACTTAAACCAGCATCTTCACTGGCCCTTTTATTTAGTACACCTGTTCACCTGCTTGTTAACGCAACTGTCTAATCTGCCAGCTGAATGGCAACAGTCACCAGATCTCAATCCAACAGACCACCAAAGTGGTGAGTCATCGTGGAAGTGCAGCTGACAAATGCACAGCAACTGTGTGATACTATCATGTCAGTGTGGACTAAAATCTCCAGGACGTTGTTGAATCGATGCCATGAACAATTAAGGCAGCTCTGAAAGTAAAATGGGGTCCAAGTCTGTACCGGCAAGGCTTACCTAACAAACTGAGCATTTCCATACACGTTTGCGTTTACTTTGTTTATGTTGTCACCCATTTCGTAAACAAGGACCTAAGAAATTTTCAGTCTTTATCAAACTGCAGAGCAAAATAAATGACAAATAACTGATGAACACCAACATTGGTAAATGCCATTTTGCTTGCTGACAGCCTGATATTTGCTCAAACTAATGTTTGGATCATTTATTGGTAAAAACTAATATTTAAAAGGTTAAAAACACACAGAGGTACATTAATATACATTAATGCCAGATATAAAGTAGAAGCAGAAAAAAGGAAAAGACACCAACCGCCGGATTTAAAGAGCATCCCCGTTAATGTCCCAGCAGCCACTGTGTTGATATCGTCTTCTGCTCCTCTGGCTTTCTCTATTGCAACACCAAAAGCACTATACAGCAAGGCTGCAGTGACATAAAGAAAAACAAAATAATTAAAGTATGATTATATACTGATTTAGAAAACTTAAAATCCTGTAAATACATCCATCCATTTAAATCAGTAACACTAAGATCTTCCAACCATGGGATTCATAGATATTCTTGTTACAGTAACACCTCTACATCATTTTTAAGTAACAATAAAGCTTTACCAATAGAGCCCAGAGTGTTGGCCCATGAAGCGCCCTGCCTTGTCACCATGTTGAGAATCCTGGGAAGGGAAGATAAACATTTGAACAACGTCCAACCCAAATCCAAGCGTAAAACCATTCGATAAACTGAATTCTGTAACCAAACTTACTGTACATTACGTGGTTTGGACCATGCCATGTCTCTGGTCTCCTTCAAGCCCATTCTAAGGCCATTTAAAGCCCCAAATGTCGCCCCTGCATTTCAAACAAGGATGCAGAACAGGTCAACAAAGGGTCAGTGAAAGAATTATTTCACACTATTCCACCTGCATCATGCTTTGGGTTTAATAAATAACATGGACAGATTTATATGCCATTAACTGTGTGTGTTCTTGTTGCATTTGTGTTTCTATGCCCACACTTTATGTCTGTCTCTTGTGTTTTTGTTGTTTTGTTTTGCTTTTTAAATATAGCTGAACATAGCTCAAAATCTGGAAGATGACCAAAACTGTCACTCTCATATGACAGGAAATTGGTTAGCACGTTCAGGAACAACCTAGGAACCACCAAGGCTCAAGCCTACCATGAACTGGAAACCAAAACACCAGCCTCACTGTCCATAAGTCAAATTCAATGTAAAAGCCAGTTTTACATTACCATGGGCTGAGAAAGTGCCAACCATGAAAGATCCCCTGCTCCAAAAACCTTCAAGCTCGTCTTAAATTTGCAGTTACCCATATGAACATATCTGTGAATGTTACGTGAATATATTCCTAAGTTACAGACTCTGCTTAAAAGCCAGGTCCATGCGGGAAACAGCAAATAAACTCTATCAATTCTGCCAAGAAGTGTCATCAAATATCCAGCCACAGTTATACCAGAAGCTTGTTGATGGAAACCAAAAGCATCTGATCCAGGTGAAACTTGCTAACCAAATAATAGCTGGTATATTATATTTGAGCCTCTACGTGCAATTTAGACTGTGTCAAAAATAAATTAAATCTTGATTTCACTAAAGATGTATGCAGTGCAATCATTCCTCCTTTATGTAATCTTCTGACCACAGCTGTCGCTCTCAACAGAAAAAAATGTAGACCAATTGGACAGACAAAACAAGGACATCAACATACTTGTACTTAGTCTGTACTATACAGTACTTTAATTTGTATATCCAAGTCATATTCAGCATTAAACCCGTTTTGTCAGTGTACCAGTTTCTTACCAGTCATGCAGGAGCCTCCAATGGTAAAGAAAGCCAATTCAAATCTTCCTCTTGTCTTATTGGCCCCTGTAGGTAAGATGAATTCATCTGTGTCCTAAAACACAAGATTCAAACAGTGATGCCCGGGGAAAAAAATCCAAAACATTCTCACTCACAGCAAAGAAAAGGAGACAGACTCAGCTTTACCTGAACCAGAAAACGTGGGTCCACGTTCAGATAAGGGGACAATGGGCTCATTCCAGTCACTGTAATGTAAACGATTATCGACTGAGTTGATTTTTCAGATACTGGATGATAGTACAGCAACACTGAAGTAATGTAACAGCAGCTAGCATCACAGTTAGATTACATGACACTTACGTGGGACACCTGCGAGCTCTGTGTTGGAGTATTGAGGTGCACCCCCTCCAAAAAGACTCCCCAGGCCTGCTTTAACTCCCCCTGATCCTTGTGAGTTGTTATCCATGCTTGGATAAATGTTCCGAGTGTCAAACAGGAGGCTGAAGGGGAGCTGCTACAGCAGCCGACTGGCTAACGTTAGCAAGATATGTCGAAACCCTTAAGCTATTAGACAAACGTATATCAGACGAGCTCCTGAATTCACTGCTGCCAGAAGGAAACGTCAACACAGGTCGTATTTGTTGGTCTTGCTGGATTTTTGGAGCGAAAACTACGTCTTTTTTGCTTCGATATTACCAATCTCGCGTTATCGTCATGCCTCTGACCTCCAGCAGCACGCTCCGCCGTAAAGCGATGACCGGTGCTGCACTGTCGTTACGTCATCAAAACCCACAGTAACTTGTGAAAAATGAGAGAAAAAAATCGGCTCAGACTTATTTTTAACACCAAAAGTTCGTACTACTGCGTATCTATTAGTGATAAGTCGACTAAAAAGTATTTCTGATGTCGTTAATAAAACCACGGTTTTACGACAGTTCAACGGATCTGGGATCTGTTGACTTAACTGAAGGGCAAACTTGAGGAGCAGGCAGAACATAAAAAACTGACTGCAGGGTAGTTGTGGACACGAGATCCTTTTAACCCTTTATAGGGTATGGAAATTCAGAATTTCAACCCTATAGAGATCATATAATATAATAATATATGTAATATTCTGATAAATCAGAATTCTGATGAATCAGAATATTACATATACCAGTGACAGACTTTGTGATACTTTGTGAAACTACTCTAAGGTAGTAGTATCCAATAAGACAATGTGGTTATTATGGTATATAACATATTTACACACAAACCTGCATATCACCAGTCACAGCCAACTGCTTCATGGTACTTGGTGAAGCTGTTGTAATCTCAAGTAAGATAATTTGGCAAATGATTTATACATTTCTTCAAATATTTAAGTTAATGTAAGTTCATTCACACAGTTTTGTATAAACCCAAATATGTTATGTTATTCTCTTGCATAGTACTGAATGGGCAAGCTTCCATACAAGAGCCAAGTAGACCACTGCAAAAAGAAACAAGAAAAAAAATAGATCTACCAAAAACGAAATGATAAAATATTGACACAGAAATTTTCTTACATGTAATGAAATCAAAATTAAGTAAATCA